TTTAGTGTTTAGGGTTTTAGGGTTTAGGGTTTAGGGTTTTAGGGCTTAGGGTTTAGGGTTTAGGGTTAAACCCCTAAACCCTGAACCCCTAAACCCCTAAACTCCTAAACCCTAAACCCTCATATTCGAAGCCGATTGCCTCGCTGCGCAGCCGCGAGGCGAAGGATGACACGTCCCGGCCAGAAGCCAGCGGCTGCAGCCTCCGCAGATTCACCACGAGAATTTCTGTCTGTTTTAACATGTAATTAGGGTTTCGGGTTTAGGGGTTTAGGAGCGGTCAGCTATTGGTTTGGTATCGAACCTATCGACTTAGCATGGCTTTGGCATGCAACCTGCACCCTTTCAGGAAGCTCGTGTCGAACTTCAGTAGGGTCGACGACACCCTGTAGACATGGGTTCAGTCGCTCCGGGGCTAACTTCGCGAGCGCTATGGGATGCAGGATCGAAACTCATACAGTACTACACAGCCCTTGAGCCCGTATAACACCCTTATAGAACACTTATATATACATATATATATAGTACCCTTATAGAAAACCCTTCACCCTAAGTCTTTGTAGTACCCCTCTACTGATATACCTTATAGTAACCCTAACCTCAAATCCTCCGTAAACCCTTAGCGTAACCCCAAACCACAAACCCTGGTTAACCCCTTATACCCAAAGCCCTAAACCCTAAACCCAAAGCCCTACTAGCCCTTAGCCCTAAACCCTTAGCCCGAAACCCTTAAACACTTAAACCCTTAAGCCCTAAACCCTTAGCCCGAAACCCTTAAACACTTAAATCCTTAAACCCTTAAACCCCAAACCCTTAGCCCGAAACCCTTAAACACTTAAACCCTGAACCCTTATGTAAGCCCTGAATCCTAAACCCTTATAAACCCTAAACCCTTACCCTTAAACCCTGAACCCTTATGTAAGCCCTGAATCCTAAACCCTTAAACCCTGAACCCTTATATAACCCCTAAACCCTAAACCCTTAAACCGCCAAACCCCTAAACCCCCAAAAGGCCCGGCCTTTCTTGGAGACACAAGGCCGCCCTGAGTTCGGCAGCCTCGCGGGAAGGGCTCGTTGGGCTTACAAGGCATTTCGGGGCCGGGGGGGGGGGGGGGGGGNNGGGTTCAGGGTTTGGGGGTTTAAGGGATTTTTGGGGTTTTAGGGTTCAGGGTTTAGGGGTTTAAGGGATTTTGGGGGGTTTAGGGCTCAGGGTTCAGGGGTTTAAGGGATTTTGGGGTTTTAGGGTTCAGGGTTTAGGGGTTTTGGGGTTGCTTGGAGTTCTGGGTTCAGGCTTGTGGGTTTTTCTAGATCCTTTGGCATTGTGGGCGAAGGCAAAGGTTGGACTTAAGCCATAATTTAAGTCCTAGAAATCCTCCAAACCTCCAACCGTCAACGCAAATCCAAGATTTTTTTTCGGAGCGTCTGGCCTTTTGGGACTGGGCTAACGTATAACGCGTGTGTCCTCGGAATAGCAGCTCCGATTGTGAGGTTTGGGGTTAGAATTCGGGGTTTAGGGTTTCGGAACCCTAGACCCTAAACCCTATATCCCTAAACCCTGTAACCCATCCTCCATCGTTGCGCTTGGAAGACATGGAGTTGCCTCTTACATATATATATATATATATATATATATTCATTTGTTAATATATATATATATATATATATACATGTAGAGAGAGAGAGAGAGACGCCAACTGAGCATTATTTCTACTAGTTAGCAGATGTTGAAATGTCGTGAGGAGATTGCTCACGGAGATTCGCGGTACCGGCCAGCGTTTGCACCAGACTCCGCAATGTTTAGGAGCACGAGGTAATCCCGACTGGGAACTCTCCAGAAAAGCCTGTGGTGTGAACCGATGCGAGGTCATCCAGCACCCAGTGGTGAAACCATAAACCCTAAACCCTAAAATCCCTAAACCCTAAACCCTAAACCCCGAACCCTAAACCCTAAATCCTCTTGTTTCCAAGCATCCTTGTGAGAATCACTTTTAACGGTTTAGGGTTTAGAGCTTAGGGTTTAGGGTTTAGGGTCAGTGGAGAGCAGCCCTGGCTGCTGTCCAAGGGGACGTGAGGCTTGGGGGCCGGTTTAGGGTCTTGGGTTTTGAGGGCGTCCGTACTTAAGCCTCGGGGTTCAGGGATTTAGGGCTTAGGGCTTCGGGTTTAAACACCTGAAGCCAGCGCCGAAAACCCCAAACACCCCAACAACTTCTAGGGTTTAGGGTTTCTGCACCCCAAAAGCTGCACCCTGGGCAGTACACAGACCTGATTTGGGGCTCAGGGTGTTTCGGGGTCTAGGGGCCTAAGGGGGGGGTGGGGGGTGGTGGGGGGTGGTGGGGTGGGGGATTCAGGGTTAAGAAAGGATTTTGGGCTTAGGATTTGGGGGGTTTCGGGGGTTTTAGGGCTTGAGGTTAAGACCCGAATTGGAGATTGAGGCTATGCGGCGCGTAAGTGTGATACCTTGATGCCCGCACAAGGCAACAGACACTCGAGACACAGGCTGCGCTCCGGGGACTCACTCTCAAAGGGGTTCAGACCTATACTTGTACGTATGCCCAGAGAGCCCAATACCCCTTAATTAAGGAATATACCTTAAATCATAATATTCAGGCCCCTATATTTTAAGGTATATTCCTTATTTGAGGGAATTGGGTTCTCTGGGTGGTTCTCTAAATTAAGGTCCCTTCTTAGGCTCCCGGAATAGTACGGCACCCTTATCAAAAGGACCAAACAAGGGACCCTAATTTGGAACCTACCCATACGCTACAAAATCTACCAACCTTAACCCTGAAGCCTCATCCCGCCGGAAGCCATGGATCGTAAACCCTGAACCTAACAGCTTATGTAGAGCTGATCTCAAGCCTTCGACCGAAAACCCTCTTACCAGCGCCAGTACACAACCCTGAGAAACAAGCTCTACCCTAAACCCTACACCCTGAAGCCGATTAACAGAAGCTTGAAACTGAAATCTCAATCTGAACCACAGCGGCCTCTTGGTCTTCCGGTGCCTGAATCCACTGAAGGAATCGAGCATCAGTTATTGGGGTTTCAGGCGTAGGTGGTTCTGGGGTTTGGGGCAGGGTTTCGGGTGCAGCGTTTGGTATATTCAGGGTGTGCGCTTCAGCGTGTTCTCGGGCGTTGGTTTGTAGTTTACGACTATAACCCATGGCGCTCAGTTTAGTCTGCTTACGCTAACCCCATTCCCTAAACCTTAAACCCAAACCCCCAACACTGAACCCCAGACTCTACCCTAAACCCTGAACCCTAAACCCTAAACCCTAAACCCTAAACCCTAAACCTATAAACCCATAAAGCCCTCAACGTCCCCAAACCCTAAAATCGTAAGAACCCTAAAACCTCAACCCTGAACCCCGAACCCCCACACGCTAAACCCCTAAACACCTAAACCCTAAAACCTAAACCCTGAACCCCCAAACCCCAGACGCTAAACCCCAACCCTAAGGGTCCAAGTACCTAATAATCATATACTCTCCCAAATATTAACCTAGATAACTACTATCCTTTGGACCCTTAGGGCAAGCCTCAAACCCTGAACCGAGGGTTTCGGGCTTTGCGCTTGAAGCGAAAGTATTAGGGTTTAGGGTTTAGGGTTTAGGGTTTAGGGTTTAGGGTTTAGGGTTTAGGGTTTAGTATCGGGGCTTGAATAATTAGAACAGGGCTGGGGGGGGGTATCTTATACTATAATTATAATACAGGTCCCCCAAAATAAATTACCTATATTGTTGTGGGGGATCCTGATTGTAAAATAGTATAAGAAACCCCAACACCCTATTCTAATGACTCAGGCCCCTTCTTTTAGAGATTTTGGGCTGGGGGCTTCAGGTTTTCAGGGCTTAGGTTTTTCCAGCCTCAACGCCACGAGCTTGGACCCCGAACCCCGAGCCCACCCTAAATCTACATTAATCCTTTGGCTCCTCACCCCAACCCTAAACCCAAACCCTAAACCCTAAACCCTAAACCCTAAACCCTAAACCCTAAACCCTAAACCCTAAACCCTAAACCCTAAACCCTAAACCCTAAACCGTCACCGCCTGAGAGGATCCAGGCCCTGCGGGTTTGCAATTATAGAATGAGCTAGGCTTCTACATAAAGGTGCTATAAGGGTTTAGGGTTTAGGGTTCTATATAAAGGGTGCTATAAGGGTGCTATAAGGATTTAGGGTTTACGGTTCTATATAAGGGTGCTATAAGGGTTTTAGGCTAGAGAGTCCATGTTCTCAGCTAGCATACACTCTAACTTTAAAGGGCTTCCATAGAGGTACTTTGAGGGCGAAGTATATACTATATACTTATGTACATCTATATATATATATGTATGTATGTATGTATGTATGTATGTATGTATGTATGTATGTATGTATATATATATATAGAGATACGTATATATATATATATATATAGATATAGATGATCGAAGAGCTACATATTGTATAGTACTACATTAGGTACATGGAGCCTTACAGGGAACGAACCCTTCGGGTCAGACCGCCGGTTCCAAGGCCACAGAAAGATCGCTGTATGACTGCACCCCTGAAGCCTACCTTAAGAACCCAAGACCCCATTTTTTGTAGGTTCTGACAAAAAAAACCCCAATATGGGATTTATAGGGACCCTACAAAGGGGTTCTTAAGGTAAAGCCTAAACCCTAAGTTCTAAATCCTAAACCCATAAACCCTAAGACCTAAGTCCTAATCCCGAGGATTTCAGGGGGTGTAGACTTCTGCAGGAATCATCTGGGGGCGGGTCTACGGCAGCGCTGCTCTGCAAGAATGCCTGGCAGACTTCGGAAGGTGGTGAAATCCCGATACCTAAGTTGACTAAGACATCCTAAGAGACGGCCTGTCGAGGTCGATGGAAGAGGAACTTTAAAATTGCTCCCGTCTTCAGGCCTCAGAGCTCCTCCTGGACGTCCCGCCTGCTGCATCTTCCGGTGATTTCTTCTGCCAGCTGCTTTTGGAGGAGCATCGGCTCGTTGGCAGTGGGGTCCTAGTTGACAAGAAGGGTTCCAAAGTTAGGTGGCACGTCACACTGGCCGCACTGATTGTCTCCAAAGCAGGACAGCTGACCATCGGTTCGTATTGCACAGGTGTGAGAGTACCCGGCCGAAGCTGCTAAAACTGCTCCCAGGTCACTTGGCACATCGCATCGGCCATCGTCGTTCTTGCCAAAGCAAACCAGCTCTCCACTGGCTTTGATAGCACAGGTGTGGGAGTCACCTGCAGCCACGGAGAGAACCGAACCCAAGTTGTCTGGCACGTCGCACTGACCAAATCTGTTGCTTCCGAAACACAGCAGCTGTCCAGCTGCAGTCACGACCTGAAACTGCCAAGCCCTACTTTTTTGTAGGTTCTTATTATGGAATTTATAGGGACCCTACAAAAAATAGGTTCTGGTAGGTCAAGAGACACATGTATGCGCACCACCAGCAGACGCTCCCAGAATGGGCCGCCCCAGATTTGGCACGTCGCACTGCCCGTGCTCATTGTCACCGAAGCACAACAGCTCACCCTCAACTGTAGTGACACATGTATGAAAAGTGCCAGCACAAACGCTCTGAACTTCACCCAGGCCTTTGGGCACCTCGCAAGAGCCCTGTACATTGTATCCGAAGCAGACCACCTGCCTGTCTGCCCTCAGAGCGCAGGTGTGGGCGTAGCCGACGGCAACTTCTAGAACTGCCCCCAGGTCCTCTGGCACATCGCACTGGCCCAAGTCGTACTTTCCAAAACAAGTCAGCTGCCCATCGTTGCGAATGGCACAGATATGATGAAAGGAAGCGGATGCTGCACGAACCGTGCCCAGGTCTGCTGGAAGATCACTCTGCTTCGCAAAGACTTTGAACAGGCCTAGCAACTCCAGCTGTCCATCCTTGATGACACAGGTGTGGGAGTGACCCAACGTCAGAATGGAGGCCCCCAAGTCAAGAGGCATCGTGCGCATCAGCATGCAGAGGTGCATCGCGGCAGGTCTCAGCCTCCGCCACCTCTGGCCGGCAGAGCCCCGCAGAAATCCGCGGCGCGGCAGGAGCCACAGAGGCTGACCCGAGACCATTGCAACGGAAGATAGGGTCCTTGCTTCCCCGAGCCTCTCATAACGCCCTGAACCAACCAGGACCGTCTCTATGGCCCCAAATAGTGTGTGTGTGTACCTATAGTCTCCATTGTAGTTCCTTTTTGGGGTTACCTTATAGGACCCTGAATATAAAACCGGTTAAACCAAAAAAAGGAACTACAATGGAGACTATAGGTAGGGTCTAAAAAGAGGGTAGGTTGAGGGCCTAGGAGGCCCCAAGCTCAGCCGCAAGTCGGACACCATCTGTTCACGAAAGTTTACCTTCTCAACCCTGGATTTTCGGTTTAGGGATTTTAGGGTTTAGGGTTTAGGTTTTATGGTAAGTTCAGGGCTTTGGGGCTGGGGTATAGGAACATTATCATGGGGCTTCGTAAGTTTTTTCGGTTTTGGGTTGCTGGTTTAGGCTGGGCTGAGGCTTCTGGCTTCCGCCTCGAGCAGACAAAACCAAGTGCGAAGTATCTTGAAGAGGCCGCTTTCGCTTCAGACGGAATGGGGTTTAGGGTTTAGGGACTACTGCAAGGATAGAAAGTCAAGCAAGCCCAGAACCGGGTGTGGAGGTTGCCTCTGGCCAGTCAAGAATCAAGCGAAGCTCCGCATCGAGCGCTGACATCACTGCCTGCAGCACCGTGGTTGTCAGAGGTGATGGTCTGCGACCGAGGACTTCAATAGGGTTTAGGGTTTAGGTTGAAAGGGGCCTCATTAATCAGAATAGTGGCTGGGCCCACTATATAGTAACATAGTAGGACTATAAGAAGGTGGGACGCGAAACCCTAAACCCTAAACCGTGAAGGCATTCGTTTTGCTTTCGGGCTGAAGGGCCGGGAGGTTGATAACGGCACATGGAGACGGTCGGCCCGAGAATGACGTGGGATTCGCTGAAGTTGAAGGTGCTCTAGCTATACTTGGAGGTCCAGGAGACTTAGTAATTAGGTTATAAGTAGAGTTATAAGTACCCTAATCAGAGTTACCCCAATTATAACCATACTTATAACCGACTTACTAAGTCCCCTGGGCCTCCAAGTAGGGGCCTTAAAAATTCGACTAGGGTTGCAAGTTTAAGGGGCCCAGCTAGGTATTCTTGGGCTTAGGACCATCTCTTTGTGGGGCCTTTCGTAGGGTCGTGGGGTAGCAGCGTAGAAATTTGGTGAGCATTGAGCGCCCCAAAAACACAAACCCCGCATCTTAAGCTGCTTTGGGGAAAGGAATTCAAGGCGAGATCGAGGTTCGAACGATCGTCTGATGTGCTGGCTTTGGACGGATGGAGAGCCTGGAGAGAGTGAGAGAGAGACGGAGAGGGAGAGGGAGGGGAAGAGGGAGCGGCAGAGGGAAGGGGCGCGGGAGTTGGAAGACTCTTTTGCAGCCGTGGTTTTGGTGTGACTGAGCACTGCACGAGGCCAGCACATGGAAATTTGGGCTAGTTGACTAGTTGCATGCCAGAGATACGCAACGATTCGAAGCTTAACATACTGACACGGTTTTGGGGTACAGTAGTGTGTTATGATTCTGGTAGGAAACCGTAAAGAGTGGTATTACCAAATATTCCGACGCCTAGATTTTGGCCTTCAGACTTCATTTCGCAGCTAGTAGAGCGAAGATCAGGAGAAAGCTTGGCTGGCTCCTGAAACTTTTTGGGAAAACCCTAGCTATGACACCCTTGCCCAGCAACGCTAAGCAGTGCTAAGCCCTGCACCTTCAAGGCAAGATCTAAAGTCGGATAGAGATTACAAGCACCCTCACGTGGAAGCCCTGCTAAGGAATATTCTCTCGTGTTGGCCTTGTTGTTTATTGTATTCTGTATTTTGCTGTCTTCGTCTTGATCCATATCATTGTCATACAACGGTTCTTCTAATCAAATCATTCAACCCTACAGTCGCCAACATTCCTAAGTAGGCGTGTGTACGCTCACCACGGCCAAAATACCAAGCACCCTGAAACCCTGCACCCTGTGCCCAACCGAAAGCCCTGCATTTCTAAATCCCGAGCCACCGAGAAACCGCTGAGCCCTGTACTCCACAAAATCCCCAAGATCAGAATACAGTGCAACCCCACAGTCACAAACAAAAATACACACATATTGAAACCCGCTATCAGCCTTGTAACGGTCTACCCTGAGGAGAAAGCTTTATATAAGATCGTCTTTGGGCCCAAAAGCCCTTTACAAAAGGGAGTCCTTAGAGTTAGAGCCTTCCGGCTACTGTAATGTAGGGGCCTTAATAATTAGAATAGGGTTTTGGGGTTCCCTATTAAAAATACAGTATAATATACCCCAAACCCTATTCTAATTATCAAGGCCTCTATATTCCCTAAACCCTAAACCCTACACCCTAAACCATATACCCTAAACCCTAAACCCTAAACCGCCTATATTACCTCGAAGGCCAGCGGCCTCCACGGGAGAAGGGTGCGCCACTCCCGCAGGGGCGGCCTCCATTTTAGAAGCCTGACCGGACGGCCCGGGGTTCAGGTTTTAGGATTGGGGATTTACGGTTTATGGGGTTTAGGGTTTAGGGTTTAGGGTTTAGGGTTTAGGTTTTAGGATTTTACGATCATGGGCTGTTAAGGGGGGGAGGAGGGGCCCCCCCCTCGGTTCCTTTCCCAAGGGGTCAGGCAGCTGTCCAAGTTCTTTTCTGGGTGCGGGTTCGCCCTATCTCTTGTAAGGGGTTCCCCCCCCAGGTTCTTTTTCGAGGCT